ATTTCATCACATTTTAAAACCAAGTCATTTCACTTGGAGTTTTTATTATAACGAATGCATTAAATTCTTTTTGATACAAAATGATGAAGAATGAGGTAATGACAAAAAAACTTTCCAAATAATGCTAGCTTATTTGTGTATTATTCATTTTGAATAGGAGTTTTTGAACTTCTATTCGAAAGGAAACTTTGGAGTTATATTTGGGAGCAAAAAGGAGTTTGGTTTGATCAGAGCACTATTGCTATGCAAAGACATAATGGGAAATGACCCAGCAGTGTAGTCAGAGATATGATAGAGGACCTTGAAGGCCTGTAGAAAATATTGTTTAAACCAATGTCTATCATGAGCTCCTAGAGCTTATGCTGTGTGTTATCTTTTAGGAAGATCAATATTATAGTGATTATTGCGGGTAAGGACAGGAAGACTGCATAGCAGTTGGTTGTCATGGGAAATGCACCAAGAATCTGGAAGACTAGGTCTGAGTGATGCTTCTGTTGTTTCTTAGTTGTGTGACAAGTTATTTGACTTGTCGGAGCCTTAGTTTCCTCATATGAACATTAGGGATAAACATTCTGCTATTGTGAGAATGAACCGAGTTTGTTGATGTTAGAAATTACAGGTTATATAGAGTTCTAGGGCCTGCACAGATCTCTATTGTGCCAGGTGGGGATAAGAGGGTGGCTAGAATTTAATATCCTTTATTCAGCCATGTACAGAATGCCCACGTTGAAGCAGGTACTAATGTGCTTAGTTAAATTTTACATTATGCTCTTGGTATATCAAGTTCCAGAGTGTGGTCAGATAGTGAAGTGGTGAGGAGCAAGGGGTCCGAAGCCAGACTGCCTTGTATTTGAATCTCGCCTCCTCCTTTTACTAGCTGCATAAACTTAGTCACATTAAATACATTTCCTTTCTGGGCTATGTTTTAATGCCACATAGAATTGTTTTGAAAATTAAAATTTTAAATACATATAAAGCTCTTGGAACAGTACTTGGCATGTAGTAATTATTCAGTATTGTTATCATCTTGTCTGACTTCCAAGTAACAATGAAGAATCTTGTTTTCTGCTTGGTTTACTATGTGGAAGTATATGGTACAGGCTTGTTAAAATCTTTGTTGCATCCTTCTGTGATCCTACTCCAGTTTTCTTTTTTTCCATTTTTTTAATGCATTGCCTAATAGGATATATTTTTGAGTTTTCTTAAAATCGGTCCTCTTCTGAATATATTTTACACATCTCCTATGGCTGTGGTCTGGCCAGCAGTGAAATTAAAAGAATTTCTCTTTCATACTTGCTGCTGTACCTTTATTCAGGTAACTCAAAGTTACATTAACTGTTTTGTTGTCTATATTTTACTGTTAAATCACGTTGAGTTTATTACTAACTAAAATCCCCCAAATTCATATCATCCACATTTGCTTGTGCTGCAATTTTTTTTCCCTTCATTTGCTAAATGTATTGTTGGCTTAACATATTACTGTATGCCAAGCTTTGTAATGGACACTGGATATATTCTTCAAGTGGTTTAGAGTTTCCTGGGATGTCGTGCACGCAAACAGGGAGGTTTGTCATAAAGGGATACTGTGATAACTGTTATAATGGAGATGTGCAAATATATCTGATAACACAAAGGAAGGACACCTGACTCTCAGAGTCAGACAGAGGGTGAGGGTGAGGCAGTGAAGATGGTGGGGGGAGTGGGAGAAGCCAGAGAAATACACTTGGAGGGGATAATGTTCGTCATAAACCGTAAAACCTTAGCCACCAAGAGTGTGGGAGTGACTAACCCTTCCAGAAGAAGGAACAGCTTGTAATGTCACATGAGGCAGAATGGGCACTTTAGGAACTACGTGTTGCTGAGCATTGAGAGCGTGAGGAACAGGTGTGGGAGAGATGCGGATTAGGTAGGCAGCTACCAGGTCCTGAATGGCTTTCCGTGTGAGAGTAGACAGTGAATACCCCTGTAGCATTAACGCTTTTAGTTTAAGGAAGGACATAATTAGACTGATGTGATTTTAAAAAACAACAGGCTGGTTGCCTGTATAGTGTGATCTGCGAGTTAAAGGGAGTGAGACTAGAGGTAGGATGACCAATGGAGAGGCTATACCTTGTCCTACAAGGAAGAAAAAACATGAAGTCCCGACTAAGGCACGGCTTTGCAAATGGGGAAGAAGGGGCTTTTTTGAGAGATTTAAAAAGTAGATATGTATTGGGTACTTGGGCACTTGGAATGGTAAGATCCTCAGGACATGACCAGCAACTGTGTATACAGTGGGGAAGGGAGGAGCTGAGGCTCAGCCCCAAGTCCGAGGAACTGGGTAGGCACTGCTGTCGTTCACAAGAATGGGAGATGGAGGATTGACTCAGGAGCAGAGAAGGGTTCCCTTTGGGACCTACCACCATTGAACACCCACGGGACATAGAAGTGGAATGCATGGAAGACATTTGGCTTCTGTTTCAGGAACACATTGGAGAGTTTTGTGCTAAGAAGTGAACCTGGGAATCATCCATCTGTAGAAGTCAGCTAAACATGGATATGCATTAAATCAACCAGGAAAGGGCTGAGGATGATCCTGAAGAGAATCCTCACACATAATGGTAGCATGGAGAAGGGCAGCCCTAGAAAATGATTTGGAAAGAAATGACTGTGGGGGAGTTGGCTAAAACCCAGGAGAAAGTGGTAGCATAGAGCCCCTGTCAGAGAGTTTACAAAATATTTTGTGATATTGGAGTGGTGTTGGACATGACTATAGAAAATGTGCTTTTCTCTGAAGTGGAGCCCAGAGCAGGTGCCCCTCAGGGTGGACTGCCTTGCTTTGGAGGAATCTGCCTGCATCAGAGATGAGGAGAATGTCCTGTCACCGCGGCCACGTTCCAGTAGGTCCTCAGTCTTTACATTCTGGTGCAGAACTGGAACTGTTTTTTAGTTTGAGTGGATAAAGACTCTCCTATGTTTTCCCTTCTCTTTCTTTTAGAGATGAGAATTCAGGTAGAAATGACTTTTCTTTGCAGAGTTAAACAGACGTACCACAGTTCCTTTAAAGATTTTTGTTAACCAAGGAATGACATCTACAGCAACACTACTTTTATTCTTTAATTTAACCCTGAGTTTTTCATGCACTTTGATTGTGGGTTTCTTCAGAGCAGAAGCAAGGCGTATTTACCTTAAAGTCCCCAGGACGCAACTCCGGATCTTGGCTTGGAGAGGTTCTCAACAAATGCTTAGTTTTGTCCAATTAATTTAAACTTTACTTCTGTCATTTACACTATTATAGGTGTCCTCATCCCCCACCCCTCCTTTGCCCAGCTCCACCCAGTCCTCACCACCCCCTTCCCTCAGACCATGACCACGTTATTGTTATGCCTGTGTGTTCTTTGGCTGACCCCTTCACTTTCTTTCATCCATTCTCCCCCACCCCTCTGACAGCTGTCAGTCTGTTCCATGTATCTGTTCCTTTGTTTCTGTCCTGTTCATGGGTGTATTTTGTTCATTAGACTCCACATATATGTGGGATGGTTACATAGTTCCATTTTTTAGGGTTTCCAAGTTCCTTTGAATCTTCTTACGTCTCAACATCTCATGTCATTGAATTGTGCTAACTCATCTTCTGAATTTTATTGATGCTACTCTTTTGATCTACCTAAAGTTCAGTGCCTTTTTTTCTCCCCAAGTGTTCAAGTGAAATGAGAATTTATTTTAAGGCTTCATTTATGCCACAACATTTGAGAGTGGGAATTGAAACAGAGCCAGGCTTGAGGACATCAAGGTTGGAACAAAAAACTGTCAGGATGCTTCTGCAACTCTTTCACTTCCACAGTGTCTCCTGGTTCTACTTCTCTTTGTTTTTGGTTTTTTTTTCTCTCTCTTTCAAGCTTTTATTTAGAAATATTTCAGTTTTATAGAAAATAATATAACCAAATACATTTTTTTACCTTTCTACCTTAACTGTCAAGAACTTTATGATGCCATAACTTAGAGTCTTATTAATGTCTCCTCTGTTCCACCACCCTAACCAGTTCCCCCTTGTTGGTTAGAATTAAGCTCAGGGTAAGTTATGTTAGATTTCTTGCAACCCTTCTGGGAGACAGAATTAGTACTAAGGACATCACGGACTCCATGAGATTGGAGGTGATGATCAGATTAGAAGCTTCCGGGTTCACTGCTGTATCTTCCCTCCCTGTATCAGGAATGCGGTTATCCTGTCTTCCCAGGTGGCTTATTATGTGCTTCCAAAAAAGTAACTATGGGACCTTCGTTGATTTAAGAAAGCCTGTGCTATATTTCCATTTGTATAATGCTGTATTTGGAATTTTAAGCTTTTCAACAAAATATGATTTGTTCTGCTGCTGTTCCCTTTGGACATTCTTTTCTGTGACTATTTCTAGAAGATGATAGGCTTTGGTAGGTTATGTACCCATTTAGAGATTACTCTTCACTTTCTCAAATTTAGTGCTTATCATGACTGTGACCGGAGGTAGTGGAACCAACAATGGTGTTTGCCTATTCTCCCCATATGCACAGAAATATTTTCTATTTGCTTGCCTGTAAGATTTGGATTCCTTTTTCAGACATTTTTCTGTTTGGAGCTATTATAAAGTAAGAAATAAAAATAAGTATTTTAGAGAAAAAATCTTATAGGAGAAGTAATAAAAGGTCTGAACTCATCACCCTATTTCTACTATATATTGCATTTGAGCAATTCTATCCTTTGGTTTTTTCTCTGTGCTATTTATACTGCACTTATGAAAATAAATTGTGTCTTTCTTAGCTAATGAAATATTTTGTGTAAGAATTCACCAATAGCTTATTTTTGAGTGGGAAGAAATCTGCATTCCAAAAAAGTTTTGTTATAATTTCAGCTTTTTTGTTGACAAAGTCAGAGCTATATTATGATTATGTTATTAGTATATAAGTGGGTGATGATCAAGTTCATGAAGGTAAGCCATTGTACTGTTTTCTTTTCTGAAACCCTATGCCATTTCTTTTCTTTTATTCAGGGAATCAGCAGTCTCTTCAGTTCTTTAAAAGTGGTGCGTCTCTTGCGACTGGGCCGTGTTGCTAGGAAATTGGACCATTACTTAGAGTACGGAGCCGCGGTCCTTGTGCTCCTGGTATGTGTGTTTGGACTGGTTGCCCACTGGTTGGCCTGCATATGGTACAGCATTGGGGACTACGAGGTCATCAATGAAGTCACGAACAACATCCAGAAAGACAGCTGGCTATACCAGCTGGCCTTGAGCATTGGGACTCCGTATCGATTCAATACCAGTACAGGGATATGGGAAGGAGGACCCAGCAAGGATTCACTGTACGTGTCCTCTCTCTACTTTACCATGACAAGCCTTACAACCATAGGATTTGGAAACATAGCTCCTACCACAGATGTGGAGAAGATGTTTTCGGTGGCCATGATGATGGTTGGCTGTAAGTATCTTGCTTTAAATTTTTTTTTTTTTTTTACTTTACAAATGATTGTTGTTGGCACTTTTCCATGCTCCAATCCCTGGCAGGATGAAAAGGAAACTACTTTGTTTTCTAAAGGTGTTTAATCCATATCATTTTCATTGGTTTGATTTTTATTCAAGTTTAGAAAGTGAAAAATGCAAAATAATATATTTTACTTTTCAGAATATGTTAACACATTTAAAATAGTGTGGCTAGAGTGAGACAAGAATCCAAATGGAAACTGTGATTCAATTCTGTTCACAATGTTGTACCTGGCAGAGCTCTTTCCCAGGGAGACCAGAATCTAGACAGGCAGCACCTGGCACATTCCATAGGTTTTGTTGGCAATGAATTCAATTCCAGAAAAGCAGGCAGGATCTGTTGTGAGATACATAGCTTAGAAAATATTTTACCAAATAACTGAATTAAAGTTGACTTCAAGATATAGTTTTATGCAGGTTTTACAACGAGACTAGTAAAAAAGGTTTATAATTTCCATTACAAACACTCTAGGTTGGATATATGCCTGTTTGAGATAATGTAAGGATTAGTAAATATAAACCTATCCAGCAATGACAAGAGTATCTAGGGTTTAGCATGGTACCTGGATACAAAATGTCTTGGGGGAGTTCTTAGGAGTGGAGCACTCTCTAAAAGAGCCAAAGGCCACATATTCTATACTCAGAGAGACTGGGTGATGTCAGAAGACCAGAACACAAAGGAAATACATACCAAAGAAATTGTAAAATAAGATCTTAGGTCCATGGCTGATGTGGATAAGTGGATTTAGCACTGGCCTGCAAACCAAAGGGTCACTAGTTTGATTCCCAGTCAGGGCTCATGCCTGGGTTTTGCGCCAGGTCCCCACTAGGGGGCACAAGAGAGGCAACCACACATTGATGTTTCTCTCCCTCTCTTCCTCTCTTCCTTCCTACCTCTAAAAATAAATAAATAAAAATCTAAAAAAAAAGATCTTAGGGAGTAGTCACCACTATTCATACCTTTGAGTTGACTTAGATGATTTATCCAAACCTAGTTTTGATACCTAAAGTAACCTTTATATCATTATATTGGAGTTTTGATATATATGTTATTAGATGCTTTTAAGCCTTTGGATCATGGTCATTGGTTTGGGTGTAAGCCATCCTTTTCAAGTTTTCACGTTGCAGAGATTTACATTTTGACACTGATGGGAAAGATGTTAGACCCCAAGAGTGCCAGCTGTCCAATGAGGGGTCAATATCTTGGGTTTAAGCAAAGTAGTTTTCAGGGTTCAGAATGTCTGAGAGCTATTGGAGCACTTATGTTAATAGTTGTTTAGTTTCTGTCCCTCTACCTCCTTTGTGCAGGTACACAAACAAGAACTCACAGGTTCTCTTTGCTGGTTAAATGTAACAGTTAGAGGGAGAGTGAGGATTCCAAGTGTTGTTTGCTACAGAGGCTTTTAGGAGAAAAAATATCTGACATTAGGAGATACTGTTGCCTACAAACCAAAATGGTAAGATGTATTGACAAAAAGGTGCTTTACAAATTCAGCAGACAGTGTTTTTTTCCGATGTAGTATTTATGCTTTTACTACTTTTAATATTTATGTAACGCATTTTGCCTTAGGGCATAGTTAGATTTTTAAAAATGTATCTCAAGTTAACTATATACTCACTGGAACTTGCAAAGATAGTCTAGAGAGGACTTGTGTGTTCTTCACCTTGTTATCTCCTAAGTTACATCTTATGAAACTACAGTAAAGACCAGCGCCGACACTGACACATCATGTGTGTCACTCAGGAGGACACTCTGGTGTTCTGTCATGTAGGTAGATTCCTCCAACTACCACTGGAGTCAAGATACAGAATAGCCCCATTCCCACAAAGATGTTGTTGTAAAATAAGATCGTAGGGATCCCTCATGTTGCTGATCTATAGTCATACCTAATCGTTCGCCCAAGCATCCCTAAACCCCTAACCTCTGGCAACTATCGACCTGTTCTTCATCTCTACAATTTTTTTGACTGTGGGAATGTTATATAAGTGGAATCATACAAAATGTGACCTTTTGAAATTGGCTTTTTCCACTCAGCATAATCCCCTTGAGATCCTTTAAGTTGTTGAGTACATCAATAATTTGTTCCTTTTTATTTCTGAGGAGTATTTCATAGTTTAGATCTGTTTACCACTGTTGAACCATTCATCTATTGACAGCATTTTGGTTGTTTCTAGTTTTGAGGTATTACAAATAAAGCTGCTATGAACATTCATGTATAGTTTTCTGTTTGGACATAAGTTCTCAGTTCTCTGGGATAGGTACCTAAGAATGTGATTGCTGGAATATATGGTAAGTAAGTGTATATTGAGTATTTCTTTTAATAAATTGGCCAACTATTTTGCAGAATGGATATATTAGCACAGCTACATTTTTCACAAGAGAGTAATAGGAAAATAAAATCTATTATATGGAGAGTTGAAGAGCACCATTATTCATTTTGTTTCTTAGGCCCCAAACATGGAAATCATCCTAGATATGTCTTTCTTGTATATTTTAGGTGTTCATAACAAGCTCTGTTGGCTTTACTTGCAGAATATATTTGATTATTTCTCTCCACGTCCATAATTTAACACCCAAGACCAAGTCACCGCCATCAATGGCCTAGATGTTTGCCATAATCTCCTATATGTTCTGTTTTGACTCTTGCCCTACAATCTCTACCCTAAGTGGCCCTTTCAAAGTAAGTTAGACCACATCATCCCTTTGCTCAAAGCCCTCCCATGATTTCCAATGCACAGAAAATAACACCCAGATTCCCTATCCCTTTTATTAAAGTCTTAATGGTCTGACGCTTGCCTGCCTCACCCACTTCACTTTCTACCATTCCCACCCTTGCTTATTTTATTCCATCCATGTGAGCCATCTTGCTGTCTAGGTCCACATCAAGCTGAATCCTGTCTCGGGGTTTTTGTTTTTGTTTACCCCTTACAACACCCCTCCCCTGTATTACGTCCTGAATTCATGAGGGCACACACTCAGATTTCCTCTTCAGAGTCTCTTCTCAATGCTACCCTACTGTTAAAAAGACCACTCCAATGCCAGCCACCTTTGTTTTCTGCTCTTTAACCTTTTTTTCTTCCTTGTACCGACCAAGACCTGAAACTGTGTTGCCTCTTCTTTATTTTTTTCATCAGTACGTAAGCTCCACAAGAGTGGGGCCTTACTCTGCCTCTATTTTGCTTTTGTACACCCAACTTGTCAACCATTTTTAATACCATGCTCATTCTAAATTTGTTCTATGAATGAATGAAGTTGAAGATGTCTCTGGAGGTCATAGTGAAGTTCTCCTTTTCTTGAATCCACCCCAGTTAAGTCTCGGATGAGGATACATGCCAGGAAGATGCAGTCTTGGCATTTTGGCCCCGATTCCTTTGTTAAAGCCCTGATGAGCTCATCTGTATTGTTTGCCTTTGGGAGTGTAGTGGCCCCTTTAGCGAATTGCACCAACCCTAAGTTTCTCACAGGCCTGATGATAAGTTTTAAGAGGCTAGTCAGCAGAAGCATCAACAACTCTTTCATCACTCTTTACCACTTACCTCCTGAATCTGCCTACATTGGAAACTCACACAGATTCCGTTGAGTTTTCAAAATTTCATTTGCTTCAGAGCTGATTTTATTCCCTTTCAACTTCATGCATGGCCAATTATATTGTGTATAAACGTTTCTTTCTTCTCTTTTCTTTTCCTTTCCTTCTGTTCCTGTCTTGATTTCATGATGAAAAGTTGGTATTACAGTTGGTCCTTTTCCTTTTCTGAGGTTTTGCTATTTTCTTTCAACATCTGAGCAGTTTTTTTTGGTTTATAAACAAATTTTTGACATCTTTTGCCTGTTGATTTAGGTTTACTTTTTATGTCTCTGAATAAACTTTAGTATCCATAGCCAGAGTGTTCTTAGGAGACCCTTTAAAATTTCCTTCTTAGATCTGGGTCATAGTAATTTCATAGCATGTTTTTCTTCTCAACAACCTAAGGAGATAATAGAAAACTGTCCAGACCCATGAGGTGTTACAGTAACCTCCCACAACTCCAAAATTTATTTGATATACATGCACAAAATGTCAAACAAATATGGCTGTTGCAGATGTTTGCAATCTTAATATAATTTTTTTCCCTATAGTAACACCAAGGAAAACAAACAAACCACCAATGTTTCCATAACTAGTATATGTCAGCAATCATAGACATAGCCAGGGTTTAGTGGTAGTAGGGTGTGTGTGTGTGTGAGAGAGAGAGAGAGGGAGAGAGAAAGAGAGAGATGGGGAAGGAGAGAAAGTGAAGAAGGAGACAGAAAACAGGAAGATTGATGTTTTCAGTTGTGCTAAGATTCTAGTCAGTCCACCCTGGCTGTTTGAGAAGCACCCCTTGTAACCTTATAATGTAGTGACTGAGAGAAATGTTTTATCAAAAGGTTGTTGGAAATACAATATTCTGTTGAGAAAAATAATCACTACTTATAAATGATAGCTTCTTTTTCTGAAGAAAAAGTTTTCATGCCTTCCAGCAAGAAAGACATTTCAGTGGCAGCGCTTTCAGTTCTTAGGTCCTTTCTGACAAATCTTCAAGTAGAATTTATGACTGTGACCTCCCTGGAATTCTGGTCACCTTGTGTTTCCTTTGGATCCCTTCTATGTCAGCAAGATCCCAGGATGTTCCCCTTACCTGTTACCTGGAAATGTCTTAGACCAAATCTTTCATGCTCACATTTGCCCCGGGTGGAGAGAATTCTCCTGCTCAGATTCTAGAACTGAAAAGCTGTTTGGATCTTCTCAATATGTGCCTGCCACCATAATTTATTTCTCTTTTCTCTTTTTCATTGTTGGAAGTTTCTTTTTTAAAACTTGCTGTTCAAGTACAGTTGTCTCCATTTTCCTGCCGCCACTTCTCCTGCCCCACCCGCCCCCGTCTCCCAGTTTATCTTCTCTTGTTTCCACCTCTAGC